TACAGAACAGATAAACCAAGAGGGTAGCTTCTCACACCTGTACCTGTTCCTGAGACTGAGACTGAACCGAGTTCCCTAAATTGTATTCTTTTACTGCTCAAACCAGAAGCCTTCTCTGAACTTTCCCGGGTTCTTTTTCCTTACATGTTATACCATGATCTTTTCCTTTATACTTAATAAGACCCTGTCTTTAAGCAGAAGTCTAACCTGCTTCATGCCATTTTACCTAACAATTGTGACTCTTTACTTTTGCTCTCTCATTAAGAATGTGGCCATGGTTATGTCTGCAATCCCAATTCCCATCATGTGTAGGATTTCATGAAAAACACTTGTCTCTGTCTGAGCTGTTTCATGGCACTTTTTACCTCCTCATTCCTCAAGGTGTAAATGAGGGGATTCAGCAAAGGGGTGACCACTGTGTAGAAGACAGACACCACCTTGTCAAAGGAGAAGCTGGTGTCTGGCCGAGTGTAGATGAAGATGCACGGCCCAAAGAAGAGGGCAACCACCATCAAGTGGGCTGAGCAGGTAGACAGGGCTTTCCGGCGCCCTTCATCTGACTGTTTTCGAAGAGAAACCAGGATAACCACATAGGAGGTGACCAAGGCCAGGAAACAAGTGAGGGAGATGGTTCCACTATTGGACACAATCAGCATTCCCGTGAGGTATGTATCCGCGCAGGCCAGCTTGATGACAGGAGGCACATCACAAAAGTAGCTATTAATAATGTTGGGGCCACAGTAAGGTAGACGAATGGTCAAGAAGGTCTGCACCAGTGAGTGAATGGTAGCCCCAAACCAAAGAGCAAAGACAAGCTGTACGCAGACTCTCATATTCATCACATTGGGATAGTGTAACGGAGTGCAGATAGCTACGTATCGATCATACGCCATAATAGTCAACAGAAAGATCTCAGCACAGGCAAAAAGATGCAGGAAGAAGAGCTGTGCGATGCAATTGTCAAAGGAAATGGTCTTTCTCTCTAAAAGCAAATCCTTTAGCATCTTTGGCACCGTGACAGATGAGTGGCAGATGTCAATAAAGGACAGGTTGCTCAGGAAGAAATACATGGGGGTATGGAGACGTGGAGTAAAGGTTATGGCAATGATGATGAGATTGTTCCCCAAAATGGTTAGCACATAAATGACTGAGAATGCCATGAAAAACAGTATCTCCAGCACCCAGTTATTAGTGAGTCCCAAGAAGACAAATTCGGTCACACTTGTTTGGTTAAGAACACCCATCCAACGAGCTTTCCAGAGGACCTCGGGGAAAAAAATGAAAGCTAATTTAGCTTTAATATTATAGGATTGGAATTAATTGAAATGATTTTGCATTTCTATCTGAATTGCTTATTTATTATCAGAGCATATAGATTATAAAGTAGATTAATAGTAATTGTTACAATATACCCCCTACATATCAGGAGCCAGGCCAAGCACTTCATGTACACCATTCTGTATAACCACGAGCACACCATGGCATAAGCATCATTCTTTCCATCTTTCAGATGAGATCAGTGAGGCTTGCCAAGCACATATAAATTATCCAAAACCCTTACCCATTAGTTAGATGGCTCTTTTCATTTCAGACTAATCCACTGATAAACATCAACTTAATATTCCAAAAATATACAACTTCCAACTAAAATCATTCAGTATTTGACTCTTCCTATCAGAGTAAATGTACATTCAAAGCCTGTAACAGTCTGATGCACACTGATTTTTCCAATGTAGTGTCCTTTTTTTTCCCCCTCTGTATTCTTTTCTCCATCCAAGCAAGTCACTATATTCTGGACATGCTACTTTCACCTACTTATTTTCCAAAATCTTTGTCTTTATTTATTCTTTTCCTTCAGCTCAGAAAATATGTTCTCTAATCAAATGCGTTCAACTCACTTCATTGTTGACTATGAAAATCTTACTTATCCTTTACTTCATCTCTGACTATCTCAAAGAGCACTGCCTTTAATAAAACTTACCTAATGCGATTGGCAGGACACAGTGGCTCACACCTGTAATCCTAGCACTCTGGGAGGCTGAAGCCGAAGGATCCCTTGAGATCAGGAGTTCAAAACCAGCCTAAGCAAGAGCAAGACCCCCATCTCTAAAAAAAATAGAAAAATTAGTTGAGCCTGGTGGCATAGCCGGGCCTGGTAGTGCACACGTGTAATCCCAGCTACTTGGGAGTCTGAGACAGTAGGATCACTTGAACCCAGGAGTTTGAGGTTGCTGTGAGCTATCATGACACCACTACACTCTAGCCAGGGCAACAGAGTGAAATTCTGTCTCAAAAAAAACAAAAAAAAAAAAGGAAAACTTTCCTAATGCAATCAAATCCTACCTTTTCCCTTTTATGGTCTTTAACTATAAAAGAAAATAAAATAAGATATTTATTTTTGCTCTCCATCA